AGCTTTGATTTCAGATCTTTCCAGCTCCATGTGCAGCAGACTTCTCCCCTCTCAGCCAGGCTTCCTTGCCAGGTACGTCTTGCGCCTCCTCCTGCTCCATATTCCTGTCTCGAAGCGCGTTTCAGTTCTTTGCTCTATACCCCGAACCAGCTCCACTTGTGATGACCCCGGGTGACATAAGACTTTACTGTCTTAATTTCTGCTGAAGGGTGACATTCTCCAGTTGTTGTGCTTTCATGTCTCTGTTATACCTTTGCTGGATTTCATTGTGTACATGAGAGATATTCAAATATGCCTGGTGGAGTTCACTGTATGAAACCAGTGAGCTTTCTCGAGCTCTCTCTGAGTTTCCTTCTCCTTATCCACCAACGACTCTTCGTGCATCTTTTGTTGAGCCAACTGTCCTTGCATTTCCTCCAGTTGTTGGCTAAGTTCTGTCCTTAGAGTGCACTGCTCATAACCCTGCTCTTTCTTTCTGGATAGATCTTTTAGCTGCTTTATCAATTCCTTCTCTTCATGGAGCTCATTGGTCAAAAGCTCAACCTGGTCCCAGAGAGATTGGTTGTCTTTAGTCTCTGATTTCAGGCTGGTGGAGATGCTCATCAACCCTCTGGTCCTGACAGGCACTGTGTTCCCCTTTCTCTTTTGAGCTGAGTTTTCAGCTCCTCTATCTGTTTTTATAAAGACATCCTTTTCTACTGGTGTTGAAATAGCTGGAACAGACCCCTGGTCCAGGTGTACGGGCCCAGAACTGCATGAGTCAGTCTGAAAGCCATAGTGTATCAATGTCTGAAGTTGTAGTCTCCTAACTATGTTTCACCTGTTGAAACGCCTTGAATTGATTTCCTTGTCTACACACGCTGATGACATCACAAATGGAATCAAAGGACATGTTCCCCCCCCCCCCCTCTCCCCCTTAGTTACTGTTGCTATGTGTTCCATTCTAATGCTTATGTCCTTAAACATTTAGATTATTTAAAAAATAACATGTTAAAAAAAAAAACCTGGAAATCAATTTGATATTATGGCCACATTTTAGACTAAGGGATTAAGTAATTGTAATTAAACAAGTAATTGAAAATATGTCTTGGAAATAAAACAATTAGATTTATATTTTATTCAGTGCTTTTCTAATGTGCCACAATAATGTAATGTTTTTTAGTTAAAATGTTGTAATTTGGGGCATTTCCAAGCAAATATTAATATTATGTGCTTGTGATAAATTCAATCCAATTCAATTCAATTCAATTTTATTTGTATAGCGCCAATTCATAACAGAAGTTATTTCAGCACACTTTTCAAATAGAGCAGGTCTAGGCCGAACTCCTTGTTACATTTATTTACAGAGACCCAACAGTTCCCACCATGAGCAGGCATTGGCGACGGGGCAAGAGAAAACTGCCTTTTAAGAGGCAGAAACCTAGGACAGACCCTTCGACTTCTAGGTGGGGTGGTGGGTGAGAGAGAGAGAGAGAGAGAGAGAGAGAGACAGAGAGAGAGAGAACAGATGGGAGAGGGAGAGACAGAGACAGACAGACAGACAGACAGGTCCACAGCAACAACTACACTAATAGTAGTGACTGATGATGATGAACATGAAGAAGTCTGAATATTATGCTGCCACCTCTTAAAGTCTCCACGCCACCCTTTTGCCACCCTGTGAATATTTCTCTCGATCCACCCGTGTGAGGGTTCAGATTTAAAGTCAAATTATGTGAGGAGCGGGGTCAAAAGATTGTGTGTCTGTGTGAGTGGGTGGGTGTACTGTATTGTGACTTGTGACATGCTTGTCAGCGGTGATAAGTAGTAACTTTGTAAAGACCGACAGGGAGTGGTCACTCAGAGAGATAAGGGTCCTTTGTCCCCATGAGGTATGGATGCACCCAGATGCACAAACTTTATATAGTCTTAGCCGGTGCCAAAGAGCACATTACCAAAGGCAAAAAAAAAGGTACTCATTATGTACAATGCCCCCTTCCAAAGAGTTTTTATCTATATTACTTATTATTATTATTTGTGTATTAACATTTACCTAACATTTATTTAAAGTTGTTGCTGGTTGAGGTGGAATTAACTTTAACCACTAAAATACGGTGGGATCTTTAAATCTATAACAATTCATTTTAATATTTAAGCAGCTCATCTGTTATAAGGGTCAAATCTTAACCTGCAAAGTAACCAGCTGCCAAATGTTGCTGAGTACAAAGAACAATATTACCTGCTGAACTGTAGTGAAGCACAAGTACAAAAAACATAAAATATAAAAGTCTCTTTAAAATTGTGCTTGTATAACAGTCTCTATATATACAGCCTTATTAAATTGTAGGTAACTGTACCAAAAGCACTTGCAGCTAGAGCACAACAGTTAAAGGTCCAGTGTGTAACATTCAGGAGGATCTTTTGCCAGGAAATGTTATATAATATTCATAGGTATGTTTTCATCACCTGAAAAAAACAATTGGACTACACGGGTCCTCTTCTACAGAGTCTGCCATGTTGAACCGGCATGTTTCTACAGAATGGACCAACCAAACACTGGTAGTAGGTATTCTGTATTTTTCGCAGTGTGGTTTCTCCTGCATGCTTGGAAAGCTGAGCTGTATCTAAATGGTTGCAACTTCACTAAATCCTACATTTAAAGGGTTAAGTAGTAACGGTAGTAGTGTTTGAGGTTTATGGCTACAACCAATAACTTGAACATCATTCTGTCTGAGATAAGACGTTTGGTTGAAGTTGCTGGAGTGTAAACTTACCCAAATCAAATAAAGAACAGGGCAGAATGCAGTCTTACTCTCTTATACACCATATCTTGCTTCACACGCATGGTTTGTTTTTATGCCTCTGTGCTGGCAAAAGGCTGTAGGCATTATGTTTTTGGATTGTCCGTCTGTCTGTCTGTCCCACTCTCAAGGGAATTTGGCACTGATCCAAAGTCAAAAGGTCAAGGTTACTGTGACCTCACAAGTCACCATAACTCAAGAAGGAGAAGAAGAATTGGTTTGCTGATCATTACAAAATTTTACTAAAATGTCTAATAAGATAAAATGAAGTGATGACATTTTATATCCAAAAGATCAACTTCACCGTGACATCTTAATTTTCTGCAAAAACACTTTTCT